CCGTATCACCAACAGCAGCTCTTAACAAGAGAGGAAGGCGAACTGTACACGCCGAGCTACCGCGTCCTCTTCCACTTCAAAGACATGGAGACAGGGGAGACGCGGCAGGTATCACCGTGGCACGACATTCCACTCTACGTGCGTTCGCTGGTGAGGACGAAACCCGAGACGGCACCGATGAATCGCTACAACTTCATCTGTGAGATCCCCAAATGGACTCGTGCGAAGTTTGAGATCGCCACGGGGGAGCCATTCAATCCCATTAAGCAGGATATCAAAAACGGTGTCCCGCGCTTCTACAAGCATGGCGACATGATGTGGAACTACGGTGCGATGCCGCAGACGTGGGAAAGTACTGATGTCATCTTCGAAGGCGGTGTCCACGGCGACAACGACCCGATCGATGCCATTGAGATTGGCATGTCGCAGCTGAGGGTTGGGCAGGTGGAGGCGGTGAAGGTGCTCGGTGTTCTTGGGATGATTGACGACAACCAGATGGACTGGAAGGTGATATGCATCTCACACAACGACCCCATATGCCGCTTTCTGAAGGATATCCACGATGTGCCGAAGTTCCTCCCTGGGTGCCTCGATGCCATTCGTGAGTGGCTCCGTGTGTACAAGATCTGCCAGGGTGGTGTGGAGAATAAGTTTGTCTTCGATGGAGAGTTCAAGGGCAAGGAATTCGCAATGAAGATTATTGACGAGTCTCATTACATGTGGGGTAACCTTCGAAAGATTAACCGAAAAGATAGTGTCTGAGGAACAACATCGAGTGGGATGCCATGAGAAGGATACATGCAGCGAGGCGGTAATAAGAATAAACGCTAAAGACGTGGAGGGATGACCACAGAGGACATTTTCTGCAGTGGTGATTGTCGTTATAACTGATAAGTCTGTTTATTGAAGCGTGGAATATTGAGCAAACGTTTGAGAACTTTTTTGGTGAGCCAAACAGAGAAACATAATATGTGTTGAGGATGGAGTACAGTTATATTTGTACGGATGGTGCGCAAGGGCACTTCCCTGTAGCATTTATTTTTCTGGTTTCTACTGATCTCCTTTTTATGTCACATCTAATGAGTGTGGATTTTCTTGTTTTTTTTTTTTTTTCTTGTCACGTCGTTGTTTTTGTTGACGGTACTGTACGTGATACTTTATATTTTGAGGATATTGAATTAAAAGAACCCAGCTGAAATGAAT